AGAGGACCTGGGTTCAGTGCACAGCACCCACATGGCAGCTAACAACTATCTGTAATTCTAAGATCTGACACCCTCACACAAACATACATGCAGGCAAAGCACCAATGCACATAAAATAAAAATGAATAAATTAAAAAAAGAAGAAATTCACTTGTAAAGTCATCAGAATTCAGAGTTCATAAAATACACCTGCCACATGTGCATCAATTTATAATCATCTACTTTTCTTAAAAATGAAATTCATGTCAGCCCAAAGGCCTGTGCTTGGTGCCCTGGCAATTGTTTTCTTCCCACTGAACATGTTATTGTATTTACAGATGAGGACTGTAAAGCAGTCTGTTATTATTGAGTTGTTAGTAACTGCTATGTAAGGGCTGCTACTCATCTCAAGTAAAACTGGCCTTTAGCCCATGAAGGAGGTTTCTTGGGCTGCACACTGCCTGGCATTCATCAGACTTCAAGTATTTACAGAAGGATAGGTTTCTATTAGCATTAGAAATGAGACAGACAGATTCTTCTTATCTCTTTTCTGGGTACTGGGAACAGAACCTAGAGCACTGCATAGATAAGGCAAGCCTCCCTACTGAACTTACACCCCAGATCCTCTAAACTCTAATTTCATATGTGTTAATAGACAAAAACCTTCATACAGTTGTCCAAACAAAATAGTGACTAAATTGAAATAGGAAACATAGTATAGTGGTTAAAAGTCAAGACTTAAAAAAACCACAACTTTATATAAAGGAAATCATAACACACAAAACAGGGCCACATCATGAATCCCACACTCATTGCCCAGGCAGAAAATGTGTTGCAGTAGCACCCCTCACTGCAATAACACTAGCTTTCTCACAATCAATGTGGGTTATTTTGAGGCTAATGCCAGACTCCATTTATAATGATTTCAATAGGTGAGGGGACCCTGACTTAGAGCTGGGCAGACCTGGAATCAAGTTTGGGCTATGTTGTCTACCCTGGCTATTCACTTAGCTTTTTAGAGACTGCCTTCCCTCTACCAACATATGGCAGTAATTCCTGCTTTTCCAGATGCACTAGGCATGAATTGAGATAAGAAGGCACCAGAAGAACAGCCTGGAGCTAACACATAGAAAGTAGCAACTTCATGATGGCTGGATTGTGATCACCATTTCCACTAAGGTTCACACAGGACAAAATGGGTCAGGGTCTACTTGAAAGAAGCCCCCAGAGTTCAACATCCTTGCGCTGGGAAGTTGAACAGACCAAGAACTCGTACCTGATCCCATCAGAAAGCAGGAAAGAGCAACTCGTGGTAGCTGAGCAGCAAGGGCTCTTCTGGAGGCAACTGGTACTTTCCATGACAGCAAAGTCAATTTGGTAACTTAGCCATTAGAGATGTGATTTGCCCATTAAACAAATGAAGAGGCCCCTTCCTGCAACAGCTATCCTACGCAATGCTGGTTCCACAACCTGAAGCAGCACAAGCCAGGCAAGCCAAGGCTTCCTCTTTACAAGTTCAAAGTAGAAATTCCAAGTACTGAAATGAGATTCTTCTTATAACTAGGACTATTGAGAAATCATGGATAGAATCTAAAGTGTTAGAAAACCCTACAGGGCATATACTATGGAAGGCATGTGTGCTTCCCATCCAAGGCAGTGGGGACACAGAATGAGTTCCAAGGTGTGAGCCTGGGTTGTTGCCCTCCCACTCCATCATGTTCAGCCTTCTAGCAGAAGTATAGTGAGAAAAACCCTACAGTGTTTATAGTAAGATAGAGACACAAATCCAAATACTCAGTGAAGTGTACAATGAATGATGAAGTACTGGAGATATGGCTTGTAGTTTCCAGTAAAATAAAACTAAGGTACATGGGAAACTGGTTTCTTTCAACTTTTCTCACTCCCATCTGACTGAAAACTGCTACTAAAGGTTTGCTCCAAAGGGGGGTTCTATTCACTCTTTAAAACAACAAAAAATCAGCCAGGAGGAGGCAATGACATTTGCTGAGAAGTCTGGAACAGAAGATGAGGGAGTTTTGTGCCCCAAAAGGATTGAAAGGGGAGAATAACCTTATGGGCAAAGTCCCTTGCTAAGCACCAAAGCAATACTTACCAGGGTGAGGAAATTTGGATTTAATATACAACAAAAGAGACAGATAAGCACAGCCTTCTACAAGTTGAGAAGACGTAAGGATGAAGGAAACGTAAAGATACTCAAGGCCCAGTAAAGCACCCTTGTAAAGGCTGTTGTGAAGTCAGATAAAGCAAATTCATGGCTCTTTGAAAACTCTCAGCTTAGTCAGTTATTATGAACCATTCTCTATAGCTTCTGATTCATTCCCATGTTGGTTCTGGAAACTCATCCATTTGAGATCAGTATTTCTTTGGGGGAAAGAGTCATTCATTACTTTCAACTATGCAAGCACTATCTGACCTTTTCAGTAAAAGTGTGACTGCTAGGGCTGTGTTCTGAATTTTAAGTAGATACAAATTCATTCTTGGAAAACACCAAATGCCAAGCTGGTGCTATTTCCATTTAACTTATGGTGTGTCCAAACAAATGAGATTCCTCAGTGATAATAATGGCATTCCTGTGCCATCCACCTGAACAAGCACAGGTCACAACTCTCATTCAGACTTGTCACCCTCACATCCAAGGCACAGGTTCAGGACAATCCAACATTCTGCTTCCACACTAAACACAACCTAAGCCAGTTGCAGAACCCAGTACTGTGGCTTAGACGGCTCACATTCATTTCAACAGAGGCCCTAGTGTTATTTCTAGTCTGCTGCTATCAAAATACAGCTGATAAGACTATTTTTTGTGAGTGATAATGATGAAAAGTTAAGTCTCAATCTCAGCCCTAACCTACTAAAATTGTTTGAATAATTGATTAGACTGTAAGTCAAGGCAATCAAATTTATTTTGGGTTATGCAATCACAGACTGATTACTTTTCAAATAAAAATCCCAGAGTGCCAGATTACTCCCCAGAATAAAAAGAAACAAGTAATAGTTTTGAATGAGAGAGAGAGAGAAAGGGGGGAAATGTGTATGGGCATGTGTATGGGCTCTCCAAGCATGGGAGAGCTTGTTAGTTTTGCTGGCTTAACTCTGGAAGCCATAACACAAGAGCCTCCAAAAATAAATCTATGAATACTGTTCAGAAAATTCTGCATGACAACAAAAACCAAGTAATTTGTGATATATAGCTCCAGCTTGACAATTAGTCATTTAGAGTAGATTGATTTCTCAAGGTAATTTTAGAGATTCAAGAAGTACCTTGGATGGGAAGCAAGAAAAAAATAACATACCAAAAAAAAAAAGGCAGTTTGTTTCCCACAGATAGAAGAGACAGACAGATATCTCAATGATATTCACTCATGTATCCTAAACAACAATCTGTCAAGGTAAAATACTGCTAGTCTAAACCTATCAGTTTATTTAAATGCATCTTTCAGTTAACTATGATTCAATTTTACAATTATAATCTACTTTAAGCATGCCTCCCCCAAAGAATAGAGGTCATACTGATGACAAAAAACTAGGTGTTCCTTGGGACAAAACACTGAAGACGTGATTTTCCCTAACAATCCAATGACATCACCTGGACATGGGGGATGATGAGCTTCCTACTTACAGAAATGGGGATGGACTTCCCTTCTCAAGGATGACACAGGAGACAGACTTTCTTTCCCATGGATATAGAGGTGGACTTCTTTTCTCATGGACATGGAGATGGATTTCCTGTCTCATGGATATGGGATGGACTTCCCTTCTCAAGGAAGATATAAGAGATGGACTTCCCTTCTCATGGATATGGATATGGACTTTCCTCTCTCATAGATATAAGATGGACTTTCCCACTTGTGGATATGGAGATGGACTTCCCTTCTCATGGATATGGGGATGGACTTTCCTTCTCATGGATATGGGGATGGACTTTCCTTCTTATGCTGAGCCTGAAAACTAAGCTCCACTAATACCTTTCTAAGGAAAAAGGAAAGACAAGCACCCACCACCCCCCCCACACACACACACACACACACACACACACACACACACACAGGGGCAGAACAACAACAACAAAAAAGGCCATAAAGTATGGAAAGAGACTTTTAAATGAATGTGCCAGAACTAATCTACACAAATAGATGATGCCCCCTTGAAAATCATTACCTTGGAAATTAATCCTTTCTAATAACGTTGGTATGGGTGCTTCAGAATTTGTTTTGGAGACTGGAATTTTCCATATTCTTATAGCCAGAAATGACTTTTCATGCTAAACTTATCACAGTCTTCAGAGTAATGACGTTTTTCTTTAGAAAATCCTCCCTGCTTTCCCAAGTCAAGGTGACAAGTGTCCTCCTAAACAGCCACTGTACTTCTCAGTCAGAGCTCCTGGGGCTCTGTACTGGAACTGCTGGTTTAATTATCACGTCTCTGACTGTTAGACCCCTGGAAAACTCAGGTATCTGGGGTCCCAGGCCACGACTGCGGTCACCCCAATCACCAGGCGGAGCTGCAAACTGCATGAGGCTTTATTGTAATTTAACGAGCTAACCCCATGTTAGCTCAGGTCTTTCACCCACCCACCATGGCGGATGGCTCGCAAAGACAGCTCCTAGGGGCTCCCAAGAGATCTTATAGGGCAGCGTAAGGGGAGTGTCTAGGGGTACGCACACGATTGGTGTGCCTCCAGGCTTGGAGGGCTTGCCCTGTGTTGATTGGCCAACTGGTTGTTATGGCCCATAGGCCCTCCCAGGGTGGTTGCTATGCTTTGTGTGTCATTGCTGGGCGCTTGTCCATAAAGCACACCCAGGGTCGTAAAGCATAGCGCCACCAGCTAATTTCTGATTGGTTCCTTGTCACAAGGCATGCATCTGACCTCTAAGTGACCAAGGCAAGTTTATGGCAAGCATGTGTTCGACTGTTATGGCTGCCGAAAGGGGAGCTGGTCCCTTCATGACAAAGCTGTAAAGCTCACCAGAGGAGAACCCAGCTATTCGAGCCTAACTTACCTAGTTGCAGTATCTTTATAGTGTCTCTGTAGGCTTTCATCACCAGCTTGAAATGACGATAAAGTGGATAGCACAAAACTCTCCTTCCAAAAGACACCAGGATTTCATGAACGTCTGTCCAAGTCTATGAAGAGGCATCTCAGTAAGTAATTTCCATAAAGTATGTAACACAACAAAAGCACACAATGGAAAAAGAACAATCCCAATTATACCCTGTAAACCTGGATCACTGGCACAAGTGAGATTCTTCTTATACGCCGCTTCTTTATCACAGACTTGTAACTCCTCATGCTGCATCAACATATTACAAATGTGGATCAAAACCCACATATGTAGCAGGAGCATTTTAGAATCTTAACTGGGACAGGCATTCATACTATAGACTTGGATTTGATGGCAGAGTGGGGATGGGAACAGGCTTCGTGATTTTATAAGCAGCTCCCAGCTGAGGTGGCTGGCAATGCTGCTGACCTACTCTTACTCTTGGAAGACAGTCTCATATGGTACCTGTCTCAGTGAAGGGACTGAATCTTACCTCCTCACAGAAGGAAGTAATATATGAAGCAATCACCTCTTTACAATTTAAAGTACACATTATCTGAACCACTGATGGTACGACTTTGATGCTGGGCAATTTGTTCCAAACTCAGAAACTTAAAAGATACTATTTTTAAATAAATTTTATGAGAACTACAGAAAAATTTTTAGAAAATAGAAGCAAAACCAATTATCGTTACACTAAAAAAGATTAGCAGGCCAGTGGGAAGGCTCCATCGGTAGAGGCACTTGCCACCTTGTAAACCTAAGTTCAACCCCTGGAACCCACATAAAAGTGGAAGGCAAGAACTGATTCCACAAAACTGTTCTATGACCTTCACATACATGCTATGATAAGTGCCCTGTAAAATAATAATGACAAATAAAATTTTAACTTTTTAAAGAGGTTAACAGCTCTAACCATAAAATGGTAGGATACAGAACAGTTGGTTTTAAGCTGCATGATCTAACTTTCTTCACCTGTAAATTCAGCAGCACTCACCTTACTGAGTGTTGTTCAATGAGGTTATTGCGGAAGAAGGTAAAACTCCAAATGACTCTGGTGATCCATTATCACCTAGGTTTGTTTCCCATTTTTGAACTCTGAGACCAATTTATTAACATACCTGCAGCTCTCCCCATATTTCCTCAAACAAACCACTGTGTCCTCAGTGTTCCTCCACATTGTATTTCTGTCCACAATTTCTAAAATGCTTACCTGGCTTGACTATCCCAACAAATTTTTTTTTTTAAAAAAGTACAATACAGCTCCCAATTTAAAAATATTAAGAAAAATTCTTAAACAAAAAAATTGCTTAAACTAACCAAAATGAAGAACAACAGAAAAAATAACTTTATGAACAATGGAAGCCTAAACAATTTCAAGAAGAACTCATACCTCAAACCAGCAGAGAGTTGGGCTCAGCTTTCTAATAGTCCACGCAGACTCGACCTATGTGGTGGAGAAAGGAGTGTCACCTTCAAAAGTCATTTGGAAATGAAACAAATATATCCACTGGAACTAGTACATGAGTTATACTAACCAATGCAAAAAAAAAAAACAATGTATTTATTTATGAATGTAGAAAAATAACTGTATTGATGCAGAAACTAACAGAAGATGCCTCTGTTCACTGTGCTTGAAATTATACTGAATTAAACACTTCACTAATGAGAGTACCAGAATATACAAACAAATAAGCAGGGGCTTTCAAACAAAACTGAAACAAAATGTTTGCTGTTTCTTTCTCTACTAAGTCGCTCACTGTTGAACTGCTGCTGGGCGCCTGAAAAACCCTGTAGAAACTGCCTTTCAGAAAATGCATGTGAGATCTAATCCCCTCTTCTGACCTCCCCAGGCATAAACATGGTGCATATACACATGTTCAGGTAAAACCCCATATCCACAAAACTTTAAATCTTTCAAAAAATTTAAAAGATTCAATAATATAAAATGAAGAGCCTTCCTTTTTATTGGGGGGGGGGGGTTAAGTAAACATTTTATCCACTTAGAACATCTTTAAAAAAATAACTTGGGCTGGAGAGGAGCTAAGTGGTTAAGAGCACTGACTGCTGGTTCAACTCCTAGCACCCACATGGCAGCTCACAATTGTAATTTTACCAACCACCCATGGCAAAATACCAATGCACATAAAACAAAAATATATTAATTTAAAAAGACCTGAAAACAAAGTATTTTCAGATAATTATATTCTTAATAACCTTAAGACTTCACTTAGATCATATGCAGACTGCAATAGTCACTTTAGAAATTTTCAGAATCATGACATTAAAAAAATTGGCATCTCAAACTACTATTGATGCTATGATGCTGTGTGAGGTAAGTGAATTAAATCATAGTGTATAGGCTGCAAACCAAAGTAAACATGCACGCACGCACGCACGCACGCGCACACGCACAGTAAAAGAAAACCACATAAATGATCTTTCAAATGTGGTTACTACTAACTACTGGAATTATGGGAAATCCCAATGATATAAATTATCTGTATAATCAAAAAGAAAAAGGAAAGCATATGACAAGGCTAAAACTATGAATGGGGCCACACTATCTAGAAAAACTTTGGCTTTCCAGCATTTATTTCTTTATTGATTCAATGATTGGCTGGATTGACTGAAGCACTGGTGATTGAACACAGTCTTTAAAATACATGACATGACACATGGCTTCTTTGGTATACAATATGAAGATGAAAAAAGATGAAAGCAGGGTCTCCATTTGCAGTTTAGGCTGGCTTTGATCTCTCAATCCTCTTGCCTCAGCCTGAGATGTTTCTTTTAAATAACAAAAAGAAGTATGATTTAAGTTTTGAAAAAAAAAAAAAAAAAAAAAACGGGACTTACATACAAATCTTTTTAAGTACACATTCTGTATGCTAAGATTCTTTTCTGCAAAAGGCTTTACTCTGCATGAGACAAATGAAAGCTTGGAGTGTGGTAGTTGGCACCTTTGCCATTGAGTAACACTGCCTTCCTTTCTACCCTTGGCTTGATTTCCTTACACTTCTCTGCTCTGCTATCTATCTGGCAGATCTACTGCTAAGAAAGAAGAGACAGGATCACAATTAGCATTATGCTTCATAACGGTGCCCACTACCATCTACTATGACCTCCACAGGCACTTCTTCTGGGACTGCCCCTAAGTAATTAATTTATCACCAAAGGCAATGCTCTCAACAGGAAGCTAAGCCCTAGCTCCCTTTAGCTAACACAGTGGTCTGCCCTGACACACACAGACTTACATTGTGCTCTCCTTCAGTGACACGTATTTCATAGCAATAGGCCAGAAGGATGTCAACTAAACTGTAGTACACTTGACGGTGAGCTGTCTTGTCCAGCAGGTAAGACTTATTCACAAATTTTCTTAGCTGATATTTTTCCTCTTCTGAAAAAGACACTAGAAGAAAACACAGTTCTGAATTATTTATTTATTTATTTATTTTACAGTCCTGAAAATTAAATGTGCTATTCAGGTTCATAAAACCACCAGTGCAGAAGATTTGCCAAAATGGAATTCTGAATATAAAAGCAAAATCAAAGTTATTTATCCATAACTCTACATATAAGGCAATTTCTTAAAGGAGGATTTTCAAGCTTTATTAAGAGCCATGTGTCTATCCAAACCTTCTAGACGTTCCCCTCCTACATTTCAATAGCAGTTTCTGACTTCACAAATCTTTTTCCTAAAGTTTATTCTTATTATTCTAAATTATGTGTATGTGTGTACCTGTGTACGTGTGTGTGTGTCTGTGTGTGTGTGTGTCTGTGAGAGAGAGAGAGAGAGAGAGAGAGAGAGAATGTGGGTATGTGCGTGTGACTGCAGGAGGCTAGAAATATCATACCCCCAGGAACAGTCAGAGAGAGAGAGAATATGTGGGTATGTGCATGTGACTGCAGGAGGCTAGAAATATCATACCCCCAGGAACAGTCAGAGAGAGAGAGAATATGTGGGTATGTGCATGTGACTGCAGGAGGCTAGAAATATCATACCCCCAGGAACAGTCAGAGAGAGAGAGAATATGTGGGTATGTGCATGTGACTGCAGGAGGCTAGAAATATCATACCCCCAGGAACAGTCAGAGAGAGAGAGAATATGTGGGTATGTGCATGTGACTGCAGGAGGCTAGAAATATCATACCCCCAGGAACAGTCATTAAAGACAATTAGGAGCCACCTGACACATGCACTAACCAATCTGGTAGAGTCTTTTTGTCAACTGAGGTTCCCTCTTCCAAAATGACTCTAGCTTGTGTCAAGCTGACATATTAGCCATAGCCAGCATACCTTCCTATACACACTTCTCACCCCACCTGGCAATGAACTTAGCAGCACTTTTCCCATGTCTTTCCAGTTTAATGAGTTTAAGTGACTGTGATAAGGAGAATTCCAAGATGAACGCCCAAAGAATGGCATCACTCCCTTTGAGGAATAGATCTTGTTACTTGATTCTGCACAACAGAATGTGACAAAGATGACAGAACAGCTATCGCCATGCTTACATTCCATTATTGTCAGAGTAGAGCCAGGGTATTCCTGGAGTGACATGGCATGTGAAAAGGCTATGTGGCAGGTACTTCTGGGACTGCCACAATCTGAAGATTGCCCCATTTAATAACTGGCAAGAAAGTGGGGCCAGTTTTGCAGCTTGAAGGAAGAGAATTCTGCCAACAATAATATGAGCCTGAAGGAAAGAATGTAGCAACCAAACCTACTTTTTAAAAGAGATGGGCATATTTGGCCAGTATGTCCAACCTTTTAACAATGTAAAATGATGCTGTCGGGTCATGATGATCAGCACGTTAAAGGATCACACAATCTAGTTACAAAAAAGATCATTCAAAGGTCTCAGAATGTTTTATGTAGTTTTTGATTTTGTGTTGGTCTGCATTAATAGCTCTCATCCCATAGGCCACAGACATATCTGAGCTACCACAGTCTTGCAAGGCCCAAAGGACCTATCAGAGCCAGACCTGACCCCTAATATATGGAGACTATGAGAACACCAGCATGGGGATAAGCTGTTCTACAGCAAAAAATTTAACTGTGACCCACTACTGGGTACTTGAGTTAGTGCCGCTCTGCTAAACATATGGCATTTGTTCCTGGTTATGTTGGCAAACTGGGTTTGCTCTGTGAATTGCCCATCAAACTGTGTTCTTTCCAATTTTTCCTATGGAACAGCTTGGCTTATCAAAGTTTTAAAAATTTTGTGTATTATAAATATAAGTCCTTGGGTCAGCAAGATAGCTCAGCAGGTAAAAACACATGCCAATCATGTCTTTGGCCAATCATGGCCAATCATGGCCAAAGACAACTGATTTTGTTCCCAAGGACTCAATAAAGTGAGAAGGAGAAAACCAACTCCATGAAGCTGTTCTCTGACCTCTACACATGAGCCATGGAATACGTAAACCCACACAATTACGAACACACAGTAATAGATATATTAAATATAAATCCCAATCAAATTCCAAATCTGCTGACTTTGTTTGGGTTACCTTTTGCCACAGAAACTGTTTTCATTATAATCCCACATAGTCCTAGATTCTGGATTTACTGCCTTGGTTCATGTTTTTTCCAACTCCTGAATCATACATGAAGTCTTTTTAAGGTTGTTTCACTTGGGGCTGGAGAAATGGCTCAGTGGTTAAAAGCACTAGCTACCCTTCCAGAGGACCTGGGTTTGAGTCCCAGCACCCACACAGTGGTTCAAAACCATCTGTAACTCCCATTCCAGGGGATCCGACGTTCTTTTTTGAGCTCTGCAGGCAAAGCACTACTACACATTAAAAAAATAGTAACCAGCCGGGCAGTGGTGGCACAGGTCTTTAATGCCAGCACTAGGGAGGCAGAGGCAGGCAGATCTCTGTGAGTTCAAGACCAGCCTGGACTACAAAAGCTAGTTCCAGGACAGCCTCCAAAGCCACAGAGAAACCAAAACAAAACAAAAAAATATTAACCATAAAATAATGATAGTGTTGCTATTGATGATAACAATAACGAATCTATCTGGAAGCTAGCTTTTCCTGTTTCAAGATTTCACTTTATTCCAGATGAACAGTGACTCCCACTACACCGAACCACCAACTTTGTCAGACAGATTTGCTACTTGTTACTAAAATTACTTCAAAGTATTTTTGGTTTTTGTCAACTGTTGCAAATACAGTATTTTCCCCACTTCCATCATCAAATACTTCATGATAAAAGAGAAAAAATATTTCTTTTTTTTATACCAGCCACTTTACCAAATATTGACTACATATTCTAAAACAACATACTGAAATGCTTAAATGTTAATGATACAACAAAATGCTTTATTTACATGAAGACAAGCAAATATGAGACTTGAGTTTCTAAGTTTCCTTTGATGCCTACAATTTAGGCAATCTATCATGCATTTCTTAATATCAAGTCTTTAAAAAATCTGTGTGTGTATGCGTGCATTTTATGGTATGTGGAGATGTGTTTGCATGTGTGTGGGTGCATTTGTGTGTGCATTCATGTGGAAGCCAGATGGTTGGCATCAGGCATTTTCCTTCATTCTTTCCTCTTGGTGAGTCTGGGGTTCACTAAGTCTGCTAATCTAGCTAGCCAGCCTACTCTGGGAATCTCATCTTTATTTCTAGGATTGTAGGTAAGTTACCTCACTCACCGAATATTGTATGTAGGTGCTGGGGATCTAAATTTAGTACTTTTCACTTACATGGCACACACTTTACCTACTGGGATCTCTCTCCAGCCCCATCATGAAGTCATTCTATAGTTACAGAGAGATCAAGGAACATGTTTTCTATTCAATCTCACACTATCTCTTTTAGTTCTCAATACCATACAAAGTAAAATAAACACACCCCCAGCATGATGCCATAAACACAAACAATTCAGTTTCTAGTTCTCATAAGCAAAACATGGCTGCATTAGTTACTTTTCTGTTGGTATAATGAAACACCATGACCAAAAATAACGTATAGAAGGAAGAGTTTATTTGGCTTATGGTTCTAAAGGGAAAGAGTCAATCATGGCAGGGAGGTGGGGAGGTATGGAAGCAAGTGGGGGCAAACACAGCAACAGAACAGGACAATGAGAGCTCATATTTCAACAAGTACTAGGCAAAGAGAGACAACTAGAGGTGGGGTGAAGCTATAAAACTCTGAAAGCCTACCCCCAGGTTCTCCTTCAGCAAGGTCACACCTCCTAAATCTCCCCAAACAACTCTGCCAAGTAGGATCCAAGTGTTCATACACCCAAGCCTACAGGAGACATTTCTCATTCAAATCACCAGCATACACTAATGGCCACATCTAAGTACAAAATACATTTAGTCCAACTTCAAAAGCCCCTACAGTCTTTCACAGTCTCAACACTGTGAAAGTTCAAAAGTCCAAGGGTTCTTCTGAGACTCAAGGCAAGCTCTTACTTGGTAACCCTTGTAAAATCAAAAAGCAAATTATATACTTCCAACATATTATGGTAGAGAATATGCATTACCATCCTAAAAGGGAGGAACGGGGCACTGAGAAATACCAGACCAAAGCAAGGCTGAAACCCAACAGGACAAACTCCAAATCCTGTAGCTCTGTGTCTAGTGTCGAAGCGCTTAGATGGCTCTGTCCCTCTAGTTTTGCTGCCTGTAATATGTAACTCTCCCTTGGGCTGTGTCTTAGTTACTTCTCTGTTGCTGTGACAAAACACCATGACCAAGACAACTCATAAAGAAAGCATTTAATTGACTTACAGCTTCCGAGGGTTAGAGTCAAAGACTGTGAAGCAAAGGCATGGTGACAGGAACAGCTGAGAGCTCACAGCTTGATCTGTAATCAGGAGGCAAAGAGAACTAACTGGGACCAACGTGTATCTTTTGAAACCCCAAAGCCCACTCCTAGTGACACACCTCCTCCCTTGTACCTCCTAAACCTTCCCAAACAATTGCAGCAACTCCAGACAAAGTATTCAAGCCTATGCAGGTCACTCTCATTCAAACTACCACAGGCTGCTTTTACTCCCAGTATGACCCTCTCCATGGCAGACAGCCCAGGCTGGCACCTCTTAACACCCTGGGATCTCCATTACAACCCAGGCGTCAATTTCACAGCTTCACACAATATCCTCTCACAGCTTTGCAGGGACTCCCCTGTTACATGTTGCCTGGCCTCAATGGTTCTCTAAAACCACATAAGAAGAATCCATGATCCCCTTACTCTTCCATCTTCATGTCACCAAAGCCAGCATGGCATGGATGACACTGCCAAGTATGGCTATCCAAAAAAAAAAAAAAAAGTGCAAGTGGACTCACATCTTACAAATTAGTAACTTTTTTCCATCTCCTATCAGTCACTTTTAAATTCACTTAAAAGTTTTTCATCCCACTAGCAGAGGAGCCCTGCTCCCACTTCTGAT